AAGCAGTGGTTTTGGATGTAAGTTGTCTGAAGATGTGAAAACGACTGGCACCAGGTGATTTCTCTGATTTTGGGGGGCAAAATCTGATAAACACACATAGCTTCCTTTAGCCTGCTTTCCACATTGGGAGAGCAGCTCTGATTTCTATAACCGCCTTGGGGAAGTGGAGTACTAGTCTCCATGACAGGCTCTGGGGGAGAATGAGGAGCTAGACACAAGGGCAGGAGCAGGTCACAGAGAGACTCTTCCCTGAGGCCTTCTGGTCTCCTTCAGCTCAAAGGACTCAGCTGGAAGAAGCACCACATGTGGGGTATTGTTTTCTGAGCCCCAACACCTCCATCAGCAGATCTTCAAATCTGGAAACCTCCTCCCACCCTATTCCAGTCAGTGTTCCAGGGAATGCTAAGCTCTCAGACAGACTCAGTTTGTCCAGACTTGCCCCTAGGGCACTGTAAAGTCTCTCTAGATAAATGGGGGTGATAAAAAGCTCATCACAAAACATCTGTGCGGTAGGAGACCTCAGGGACCATGCAGTTCCACCCCTTCACTTCAGAGGGGAAAGTGAGGCCCAAGAGTCAGGGCCTCAAGGCCAGTTCCTCCCCTCTCTGCCCAGTCCCCCTCACTGCAGTCGCCCACTTCCATTCCTTGTTGCAGCTGCGTGCTGACCATCAACGGCTGCTAGTCTTGTGTTGCGTTTAATGTAAAATGGTGATTCTTCATTGTTACCACAAAATATGCTCACTACATAAAGTCTGGAAAATGCACATTTTTCCCCATTCTTCTTATACAGCTTACATGTGCTTGTTTATAGAGGACTCAGAAAGCACAGAACACAGGGCCAGAGGGGACTCAAGGGTAAAGTGTGGTGCTCCGTGAGGCTGATCCACGTGGGAAGATTCTAGGTTCATGTCCAAAGACCTCTCTGAAGACGGGACATGCTTTCTGCCTCTCTGTCTCTCTGGTGAGTTCATATGCCCTATAGCAAAAACCTCTCCAAATTAAATAAGAAAGAAAGGGCCTAGACTCAGCCTGTCAGAATGTGGAATGTGGGTGAGGAGGAGGGCTTTATCGCCATCCGCTTTGAATCTCTTCAGGGCTAGCTAAAGGCTGGGGATGTTGGGGTGCTGTCTCTCTGTCTATTTCTATCACTCAGAAGAAATAATAACTAAACATTAAAGAAAAAAGGGTCAGACCCATAGTCTGTTGGTTGGGGGAGCTGGATCCCATACAGCCAACTGCAGTTCAAGTCTTTGCCCCTGCAGTTTGAGAAACAATCTTGACAGGATAGAGAAGAAACTGCAGTAAGACCACACCCCATTGGGGGGGCGTGTCTCTCAGCTCCCTGCTGA